AGTACAGACATTGTAAAATAAGATTTGGTGCACAGTGAAACTGTAATAAATAAGATAACTAGAAATACATTGTGTAATACTATAAAAAAGTGGAAGGAGCATGGTGTTGGGTGACAGAAATCAGACCTAGCACTTAGGGTTCTGTGCATCTCAGTTTCGTCATCTTAGAGCATATAGATACAAATACAGCTTTTAGGGTTATTGGGAAGATTAAATGAAACCATTTTTGTAAATAAGGTGTCATACAACTTGGACCCTAGACTGCATTCTATAGATGGACATATTATTATTAAAGTATAAATGCTAGAAGACTCACCATCTATTCTGGGGAAAAATCACTTGAATCATTATATTACTTGTTTTCGTTATCAAGAGAGTTACACCCTCCACATCTTCTCAAACACACCCATGAGATAGGAATAAAAAGTAAATGATTTTTTTCTCTACCTTTTCTGCATTTAAAAGAAAACAGCTGTTTTGCTTTAGGGTAGTAAAATCTCCACCTAATACAGCTGAAGTCGCTGAAGTAGTAACTCCCAATACAAATAGTTTTGTAATTTTCTTTTTCCTTATGCCATCTTGGTAAATATTTATAGGACCCAGGAAACCAAATTGGGCTGATTTCCCAGAGTCCCAGTGGATAATGGGAGGCTTGGGGGAAAAACTTTGAAGTTTCCAGGAGTTTCAACAAGAGGTAACTTAAGTTGTGGGAATCTAAAATAGGGATCATCAAAGCAAGCATGGTAACGATTAGCAATGTACCATGCCATCAGCCAATAAGAACAGATGATTAAACTCTGGTCCTCACTTAGTCTGTAAAAAGTTATGATTTTGATGGTGGTAAAATACATTATTACACAGATTGGCATTTGAAAATTATCCTTAGACTGTTCTTGTATATATCACGTCTGTATCTAAGTTTCTCACTTTCGATACACTGTTCATTTGTGCAGATGGACTTCTTTGGGAATTGTTCTCCCTCACTAGGATGCAGAATCTGGGTCCTTCAGTAAAGGGCTAGTGTACCTGTGAGCAGGGAGCAAGGATCCTTTGGGTGTGATATAGCATGATGCACAATTTCTGAATTTTGTTTTTTGAGACTTAAACCATATCTTGATTGTGGTAGTGGTTACCTTTGTCAAAGCTCATTGAACTTTACAATTCAAATGGGTGTGCACTTCTATATGTAATTATACCTTCATAAAATTGATTAAAAATTATATTGCTCCTATCAGTTTACTAAAAAGTACTAACTGGCATTTAAAAATCCCCCAAAACAAAACAAAGAAAAAAAACCTCTTTGCCTGTAACATTAATTTTAAAACACTAAAAATTATTTTCAAAGCTCTCTGTTATGTGATCCTTGCTACATTTAGCTGCTGTTTTTTAACCTATTCTGTGTCATGGACCCTTATAGGGGTCTGCTGAAAACTATAGATCCACTTCCAGGGTATAGTTTTTAAATGCAAACAATGAAACACAGGAGTGTAAAGGAAACCAATGATGGGAAATCATATCAAAATACTTTGAAACTTTATGACATAGTAACGTAGGTGTTTCTTTATTAACTCACTAAATAACAAAATCTAGCAAAATCTAATAACTATCCTAATTTCACAGTAGTGATTAACCTAAATGATTTTTAATATATCTGCAACAACTGTTAGGTGCAATGAAATAATATGTTTTTTTACTTGTGACCAAGTCATGAGTATTGCTAATACTATTGTGATTTCCTGCCTCACATTCAAAATGGAAGGAAATGCGAAAATTTGAGTCTGAAATTAGTGAAAATGAAGGTGCTCCCCCATGTCCCCATCCAAGCTTGAGTCCTCTCTCCAACATCTCCCCCTCCTTCTTCCTGCTTTAATTCCACATTAGAAACTCCTGCCTATTCTCTAGTGAGTGATTTTTCTTAGCTAAGTCCCTGGAGACCCCAAGACACTCTGGTTTTGTGCAGGGGTCATCCACCTAAACCCTGCAGAGGTAGCAGGAAGCATGACTGTGTGTGATGAGTCAAAGGGTAGAGAAGGACAAGAAACACAGAGCCCATGTCCTCCCTCTGGGCATTCAAATTTAGTACTTGCTTTTTAAAAACACACAACAATGTACTAGCCAAATAGAGATTAGCCCAGAGTTGGGCAGAGTGTAACCATTGTTTAATCAACTGGAATGAATTGCCAGTTCTCCCCATACCCCACTCCACATCTCCATAGAGTTTCTTTTATGCAGAAAGTCCTTCCTTCTAATCTCTTAGAATCAAAACACAGCCAGTTCAGACAGTGGTATTTCCTGCTTGCCCTAGCTAGAACCATCTGGCCTGGTTCGATGCTCTTGGAGCACTAGGTTCCAATCTTTCTCTATTTTATTTTTGAACACAGGACATATTTTGCCTTGTGTTTGTTAATGCACACTTTTCACTACTTGATCTCGAGCTCCTTGAGGGCAGGACACTTACCACGTTTCTTTGTGCATCTCCTATAGTACCTGTGCTCAGGTGTACACAGTGCTGTGGGGTGCAGCAGAGTCAGAATGGTTGTGTGGGACCCACCTGCTTCCCCGGCTTTCTCTGTATTGTGTTTTTCTCTCTTTTATTCGTGAGGTAATTCTTCTAACTCTAGAAATAAAGCTCTGATGTAATTTTTCGTTCATTGCAGGGTTTACACTACAAGCTCAAACCCAGCCAGAAAAGTAATTGATGTATATTATATTAAGTCTTTCTCATGAAATGGATATGCATTCATTCTTTCACATAGCCCCTTATTTTCTCAAACATCAGGTGAGATTTTACTGTAGGAAATGCATCTGATTAGAACTGGTGGCATAAAATAAACTGTGACATGTTTGTGAAATTTTTTCTTAGTTGCCTTTGAGACAAAGAAATTAATGCCTCCTTATGAAAGACACTCATTCCTCATCTTGTGTTGTGGGGTTGCCCAAGTAACATTCTATTAATATGGTCCATCCCCCATTCCCAAGGTCCCAGTGAATTAATCATACCTGTGGACTCACTGCCTACACAGTTACATGTAAAGACATTGAAAGCAATAAAACTTGACTTTGTATCCTGGCTTTTAAAATTCCTTACAAGGTGCCCTTGAATAAATTATGGAAGCTCTGAGTCTCAATTTTGTCATCTGTAAAATATGGATTATAATATCATCTATTTCCTAGAGTTGGTTGATGGTTAATTGAATTACTACAGCCATGGTTTGAGCAGGTATAATATCCCCCAAAGAGCTATAAGTAAAGTCTTAGTCTGCAGGGTGGTGGTATGAGATTTGTGTGGACTTTGAGAAGTGGACACTAGTGAGACCTTTAAGAGGTTAGGTCATTGGGAGCTTGCCCCCAAAGGGGATTATGGAACACCATCCTGTCTTTTCCAGGCTTCTTGGCTTGAGATGTGACAGGTCACTATAATACATGCTCTTGCCATGATGTGCTGCCCTTACCAAAGGCCCAAACCAATGGTGCCTCCCAGTCTTAAACTTGAATCTCCAGAATCATGAGCAAAAATAAACTTTTCCATACTCAGTAGTCTGTGTTCAGTATTTCTTTATAACTATGCAGCATCGACTTGTAAATACTTACGTAGCACTTGGAACAGTCCCTGGTACATAAGTGTTCCATGAATATTGCAAGTGTTAGCTAAACAAAATATCTCTGGAACATCTATTTCTTATTAAGCAACTGCTTTGTGCCAGGCACTGGGTTAGGCATTGAGAATATAAAACTAAACAAAGCCTACTCTTTTTCTCAAGGAACTCCTAGTATAATGTAATGTTTCCCAATCTGTGGACTGGAGATTCCTCGGGAAGACATTTTCCAAGGGTCTACTTGTTCATTGGATTGAATGAATATGCCTCAAATATACACATTTCATTTAAAAATATATGCAGTTATGTTGGGATTAACAAATGTTAAAATCATTCAAAAGAACGTTTTATTTCATGTTTTTTTGTCATTACTTAACCAAAATTAAGATATGATCATGAGGCGGCCCCCACCATTGTTTGGAAAGTATTAAAAGAGTTTTTCATGGTAAAATTGGCCAAGTCTACTGGTTGAACAGACAGTACCATCTGATAGAAACCCAAATATATAATCATTCCTGCTCAGTCATGGAGGAAACTCTTTCCTGAAAGAATAGTAGTCCACATCAAGATACTGGAGGGTAGAGACTGGCTCTCAGGGAAAGTTTTCACGTGCTTCCATACAGGACTTCCATTAAGAAACAAACACTACTACTATTCCCCTGATCCAGTTAATGTGGTAGGAGATCTCCAAAATCCCCAAGATTAAAGGGTGCAACCTTTGGTTGCTAATATGGGCTGTAGATGCCTTGCAGAGGTAGGTACTAATGGAGGCTCCACCCAAGAGACAGGAGTTGCAGAGAAGCATCTGATTCCCTTCTGTCTGTGTTGTTCTAATACTATAGAAATTATAGGATTGTTCATACCTGTATGGTTATTTGCCAACTAGCAGGTATAAGTTCTTAAATCATCTCTTCTTAAAATAAATGGTAGTATTTAGTGTGAAAGTCTGAGTGAGTTGGACTTTGGCCCCTGTCACAGTTTGAACTTTTTGTCTTGGCAACCATTTTTGGCAAAGTCTTTAAAAGACTGCAATGGCATTTCTGGAAAATCACTAGGACTATTGCCAACACTAAGGAACTTACTCCAGCAGAGATTGGATATGAGAGAAACTCCTACCTTTTTCTTAAAAGTTCCACACCTTAAAATTGTTGTGGTACAATGTTCCTTTACAAATGAGATCATTAATATTCCTGTTCTGTCCAGAGTAGAAGGTCAGTACACTTTGTTGCAGAAAAGTATTGGTGATCTATTGTGTAGGTATATCATTTTCAAGCAACCTGGTGGATTTCCCAGAAAAATAAAAAGAAGTCTCCCTGTTTTGTATTTTGATTTTTGTTTTTCTCATCTGGGAACCACTGTCTTTGGTTACCCTCTGGAAAATAACAATTCAGCCATCAGGCCAAGTTTATTGACTGACAGAAGACACTCAGGTCAAATTTATTGGTGACTAAATAAGCACAATAGTTCTCCCCTACCCCACCCAGTATCCACAAGAGATACATTCTAAGCCATTCAGTGAATGCCGAAAACTGGATAGTATCAAACCCTGTACATTCTGGTTTTTCCTATATATGCAGACACAATTTTAATGTCTTTTCCATCTCAACTCAGTGTTTATCATGTACCATGGCTATAACTTTTTCAGTTTGTGTTATGATAGCAAAACTAGCGTGAAATTCTTCTTCATTCTTCACAATTTAATAGAAGATTTGTTCTTACCATAGATCTTAGCATCCTCAGCATACAACCTTTTTCTTTCCTTATTAAATAGAGAACTTTCACTTTTTTCCCTTCAGGGAATTTCCCTGTGGCCTCTCTTTGACACATCCAAATTATTAGCATCACTACTGTTGCACTTTGTTCAAGTAAAATAAAGTTTACTTGAAAACAAGCACTGTGAGATATTGCAGCAGTGGAACTGATAACCAAGATGGCTAAGTGAGTAAAGGGCAAGTAGCATATACAGCATGGATACATTGGACAAAAGGATGATCCACTTCCTGAGGAGACAGCAGGACAGTGTAAGATTTTACTCCACTATTGAGAACAGCGTGCAGTTGTTTATTTCTGGAACTTTCCACTTTCCAATTCTCTGATGACTGCTGAAACTGCAGAAAGCAAAAATAGGAATAAGAGGAGACTAATGTATTCACATACCAGTCAAATCCCAACTTATGTTGGCCCTCCTTCCCATAGCTCAGGTATTTTCCTTTAGGGACTTACCTTCTTTTACTCAAAGTGCTGCAGAGGGTCTGATGGATAAGTGACATGGTTTAGTAATTAAGGGCATAATCCTTTTAGTCAGCCACATGTATGTGAATCCTGGCTCTGTAAATAACTAAGTTGGAGACTGAAAAACAGCCATGTTGAGCCTCAATTTTTTCTTTATCAAAATGTGGTTGAATATGATCAAACCTTGTAAATTTGCTTGAAGACTTAGATGAAAGGACTGGGACTATAGCTTAGTGGCAGAGCACTTGCCTAGCATGAGTGAGGCACTGGGTCCAATCCTTAGCACCACATTAAAAAAATTACAGAAATAAATAAAGACATTCTGTCCATCTACCACTACAATTAAAAAAAAGAAGAAGAATTAGATGAAAACAATTTTCCCCAAATTTTAGTCACTTGTAACTTGACAGCATAATATTTGCCACATTTAAATACTACCTGCACTACTATTCCCTTAATGTTTTCTTTAAATTAACTCAATATTAAATAAAGATTGATTTAAAAAAGTAAATGGAAGAACATTATCACTTCCTCAATGAGGAATTTAAGTACAAGAATAACTATAACAGAGACTAAACAATGCTATTAGGCTCTAGATGAATATTTTTGTTTGCTAAAGTCTCTGACCTAAGGTCTGCTCTCTGTCAAGTGTTTAAGGGATATTAATTCCAATATGACACATTCTTTTTGGTTTAACCAAAAGAACTAAAAATAGTGCAAGGAAATAACTTCCTCACTATTTGATTTAATGCTACTTAACACTCTGCTTATGTGCCACACAATAATGTCTCAGGTATTGCCAATGGCATGTGCATCACATTTTAGAAAATTGAGATAAAAAGTGTAAATATTTTGTATTTTGTAATTAAATGATATTGACACCTCCAAAATACAGCTGTACTAGTATGTGTGTGAGAGCAGTTATAATGTCCACTTAGAAACTATAGTTTTGACATAGAAGAGAGAGGAAACACTGCTGTAAATTCCCTCTGATCATTGCTTGACTTTCCACAAAGAACCCCGAGGCCAAATCCTAGACCCAACTATGGATTTTCAAATTAAGAATCATCCCTGGCCACAGGAGAAGCTGGGAATCTTTGTCCTCCACAGAGTCCTCAGGGTATGGGAGAATGTGAAGTGGATTAAAGATCCCTCTAAAAATTTTCATCTTGTCTCTACTTCCTCAAAGACTGTTATGGGATGAATTTGTTTTCCCCACCCCCAAATTTATATTCCTAATCCCCAGTCCTCAGAATGTGGCTGTATTTAGAGATCCCTTTAAAGAGGCAAATAAGTTTAAAAGAGCTATAGTGGCCTTAGTTGGATATGGCTGATGTCTTTTTAAGATGACATTAGGACAAGATGGCTTTCTAAAAGCCATAGAGGAATTCCTTAAGAGAAACCAACTTTGCTCACCCCTTGGTCTCAAGATTCTAGTCTTCAGAACTCTATGAAAATAACTCTCCGCTGCTGAAGCCACCTAGTCTGTGGTACTGTGTTATGGCAGCACTGGCAAACTAATACCAAGTCAATGTTTTCCAAATGGAGAAAGAGAAGGCCTGAATTGTTTATCACCCATTAGCAATGACACCCAAAGGGAGCCAGAATTATCTGATTTTATACATGTTTTCTTATTTACTATCTTCTCAATCCAGCCATCAAAAGTCTGCAGGTAAAACAAATGAACAAAAACAAAAGAAAAGAAAGAAAAGCCTAGAAAAAAGACTTGGTTACTTTGTCAACTTGGAGAACAACTTTTAGTGAACCTTAATATAATCTGGCAAGTGTTATCTCAAATGACAACATAGAATCTGTTGCTTAGACTGTTCAAGTCCCAGATAAATTTATTTTCCGTCTTTTGACCTTTTGTTCAACTTTATTCCTTAAGCACAAAATAACATTTCAATTTTTTTTAAAGAGAGAGAGAGAGAGAGAGAGAGAGAGAGAGAGAGAATTTTAATATTTATTTTTTAGTTTTCGGCGGACACAACATCTTTGTATGTGGTGCTGAGGATCGAACCCGGGCGGCACGCATCCAGGCGAGTGCGCTACTGCTTGAGCCACATCCCCAGCCCAACATTTCAATTTTATTGAATGCTATTTGGTCTTGACCATAAGTTTTGAGGTGACACTTATCTACTCGCAGTTTGCATGTTTTTCTCCTTTACCACTTCCCCCTCCCCTATTTTTATCATTCTTGTATATATTAAAGGCCCTGAGAACTTGGACTGAGCATCCTTGGTATGCCTAGCCCTCTTCTCAATTACCAGTTAATGTTTAGGTCCATTAAGTTCACAGTATAACCTTTTTGTTCATGGTGTACCCAAAGAATGCAGCACATCCTGTTCTCAATGGCTTCTCTATCTGGAGAGAAGGGGACACTCCTGTGACTGCATATCTTTGTAGCTGGTTCAAGGAATTCTGTCTGTCCCTGAGTCGCATATAAAATATTTGCCAATGTACATTTTGTCTCTAGAGAGAAACTACCCTAACCCTGTGCATTCAAAGTTCAAATATATCTTTTAAAAATATTTATAATTGGGGCTGGGGATGTGGCTCAAGCGGTAGCATGCTCGCCTGGCATGCTCGGGGCACTGGGTTCGATTCTCAGCACCACATACAAATAAAATAAAGATGTTGTGTCCACAGAAAACTAAAAAATTAAAATTAAAAAATTCTATTTCTCTCTCTCTCTCTCTAAAAATATTTATAATTACAGAAATTGGACAGATAGGTCAGTATTTGAGAGTCTAAATACCTTTAGGCTTTGCTCCTGGTTAGTTGGGATTGAAGGATGATTTGAGCAACTTATGGAAGGAGAAAAAGTATTCTGGGCCTCCTCTCCAACCCTCTCATTCAGCAGTAATAGCAAGAGAATATCATGTCTCATCATTAACCATAAGGTAGAGAAAGGAGGGAAAGAACAAGAGGAATAAAACCTTTAGACTTTGGAGGAATGCCAGGTTACAGAGTTTCTGGAGCTGCTGGTGAGATAGGACTATCAGTGATACAAGTGAGAATTTCTTAGAAACTCCTAACACAATTAGCAGCTCAAAGTCATGGGGGGAAATGGCAACAGTGATTACTTGCTGATATTTTTAATTTTAGGTTTTCATGGTCACTGTTTCTTCTTGGGAGAAGATTTCTCCTTCTTAGAATTTTTCCTGGTTGGATTTCAGTGCCTACCTCTTAGTTATATATTATGTTCCAATTCATAAATTTTTGTGAAGGCTCAGTCTGGAATGGCTCCTCTTTCCCATTTGACAGTTTCTGTGCAGTTGGAGTTGTTAAAAATCTACTGAAAGGGAGGCCCAAGGCAGTCTCTAATGCTGATCCCTGTACTTGTCTGTCCTCACTCACCTTGAACTTCTGTGCCTAGAAAGCCCTGTTTTCTTTCCTCTTAAAGAGTCCGTGTTATTATGTTATTATTATTATGGTCCACACTTGCACGTGGACCATAGCCAGTATTTTAAATGTTAAACTTGTCTATCATGTGGCTGTTTGCTACTCAACCTCTGTCTTATATCTACATGTTTTAAAAAATGGCAAAGTACTGTCTTGAGAGTCTTCTGGGTGCATCTGCGCCTACCTATTTCGTGTCCACAGCCTCAGCACCTGGGTCAAAAGTACTGCCATGCAAGAGGCCTAGTGGGGAAACGCTTCAGGAATAGTCAGGTGTTCAGGGATCCAAGCATCTGCTTTGGTCTTTGTTTGGCTCTTTGACATTTTCCCTGTCTTTCCATTTGCTTTCTCTTTGTGTCCAGTGTTGCCCCTGGAGATTAAGACTCAAAGCAAATTTTGTCTGAAAGAGGTTTGCCAGCCATAAAGTACTGTAAGAAAGAAAGACATGACATAAAGAAAAATGAAATTGTGTCATTTTCAGGAAAGAAGATGGAACTTTAGAACATATATTGAGCAAAACAAACCAAACTCAGAAGGTCAAGGGTTGTATGTTTTCTCATATGTGGAAGCTAGAAAAGAAAAAGCAAAAGAAAGGTGTGTGTGTCGTGGGGTCTCATGAAACTTGAAGGGAGATCAGTAGAATAGAGGAAAGGGATGGGGAAGGGAGGAGAAGAAGAAAGAGAAGAACTGGGGGATGGTAATAGCTAAATTATACTGTTCTATTATGTATGAATACGTAACAACAAATACCACCATTATGTCCAACTATAAATAAATTTCCCAATAAAATAAAAATTTTCTCAATAAAAAATATGGGAAAAAAACAAAGCACAGTATTGTTGAAAAGGAAGGAATAAAATAAATAAATAAATAAATAAATAAATAAACACCTTTGTTGACATTTTCATAGCCCTGCCAGAGTTTCTCTCTGAAGATCAAAGACTACCAAAGACTCCTGGGGGCTGGGTTTCAAGCCCTCCAGAAAGCAGTTTGGGTTTCAGTCCACCAGAAAAGGGGCCCTCACAGAGAGTCTACTTCCTCTTCCCTTTTTTCCTAGCCAATTTTTTTTCTAAACAACATCTTTGTCAATGACCTTCTGTCATAGAAAATAAGACTAGTTAACTGGGAGCAAATAGTAGTGAAGAGCCATCAAAATAACAGTAAGTAGATTTTCTAGCCCTTTTCCTGCCTGTCATGTTTGTTTATTTACTTATTTTTTTCTGTATAACAGACATGTTAAGAGAAGTCACTCTCTCATTTTTCCATGGACAGACAGACCTTTTTGGATGAGGTGGCAGGCTGTCTTTTAGACGTGGGATACCTCTTTGAACAATTCAGACAAGGTCCCTGATACTGCTCTTTCGCATACTTGGTGAATGCAGTCCACATAACAGTTCTGCCTAATAGAGTTTCCTTTAAGTGAGCTCTGAGAGACTGTGGCAGATAAAACCTAGCATGACTCCTGAGAATCCTATCTTCTGATACTCATGCCCTCCATCTGAGGTGGGCAGGACTTATGATTTACTTCTAGCAATGGACTGTGGCAAAGGTGATGGGACTTCACTTTTGTGATTATTAATTGCTTCGTGTAAGAGTCCACTGGACTCACTCTAGAAACTCCATGGCAGACTCTGAAGAAGTAAATGCTAGGAAGCCTATGTGGTAAGAAGCTGAGGGCAGCTGTCACACAACAATCAGCAAGAATCTCAGGCCTTCAGTTCTACATCTGCAGGGAAATGAATTCTGCTCATAACCTATGTGATGTATATTCTTCCCCAATCCAACCCTCCAAATGAGAACACAGTTTGGCTGACAGTTTTCAACATTGTGATATCTAGATATGCCATTCTCAAACTCCTGATCCACTGAAACTGAGATAGTAAACATATATTCTTTTAAGCTGCTAGGTTTTTGATTATTTGTTATATAGCATAGAATACCAATGCAGAGACATTCAGGGCAAGAAGAGTACCGAGGTCCAACATGGTCCCACAAGTTCCCATAACTGGTTATGATACTTGAATTGTGGAGTTCTAACTTCCTCACAGAACTGTTCTGACCTGGACAACACATTTAAATATTCTTAGCTCCAGCACTTCTTTTTAAAAAAAAATCAGAAAAAATGATAGAGAAGAGATGTTTGAAGCAAGACCACCGACAAGGAGAGACCCCTGAAATACCAAGTCCATCATGTGTCACTGAAGTAATTTCAAAGACTCGTTCTCTCCCATTCTGGGGCCATGTGCCCCCAATACTTTCTCTTCTTAAATAGTGTACAGAGCACAAATTCCTCCTGTTGGACTTACTCTTTAGATATGAGAAATTGTCTCCAGACAGTCCATATCATTACATCCAGCAGGCTTCCATTCTCTCATTTGTTAACAGACTTTAATTTCCTCATCTATGAAACAAATATAATAATAATGCCTATCTCATACAATTGTCATAAGATGAAATTAATTAATGTGTTTAAATTATATGATCACTACAACCTAAATATTATATAAGTGAATACAATTATTATTAACATGTGTGTGATGTTATTTATCATTATGGCATAGACAGTGACCTACACATTGGAAATACAGATATATATATGACATAGATCATGTCTGCAGCTGGTTTCTTACTTACCTGTTTGAGAGCTAGGTTCTGAATGGAGAGGTCAGCACGAGCAGAAGTTTTATGGAGAGAGGGCTTCAAATCAGCAATTCTAGAGCCCCATAGAGGATGGAAAAGCACACAGTAGATGGGTGAAGTCTGGAGGTGGGAATGTAAAAACCTGGATCCAATAGCAGACTATGTCATCAGGGTGTCACAGAAGTCAATCAGTGATGAAAGAGAAAGAGTTGGTTAAAGAGAAGCTGCCTACACCATAACTTTTACAGAGTCAGCTAATGCAAAGGAATTGAACTATGAACAATTGCCACAGCTGGATATGGCACATATATACCTGGTAAATAGAGGGTATAATAATATTTATTTATAGCTTTAAATAAAAATGCAATTCGTTGGGAAGTAAGAAATGATTGCTCCTTCAGAAAAGCTAGTGGGAAATCTCAGGGTGAAGTGATCTGGGCCGGGTGGAAGCAGAGCGCTGGGACTGCAGTCTGGTCTCTGTTCTCCAAGAACACAGTTCTTATTTGTCAGGGAAACATGATGAAGCAAAGATTTCTGAGAGCAAACAGAGAGTAGGCTGTTCTGCCCTGTGTGGAGTGGTTGTTTAAAATGAATCCCTTGGAGATAAACCTGTGTCTCTGAACAGGAAGTCATTCAGTATTAATTCTATGTTTCCTGGGAGTTTCTCTATTAAGATATTATCTACCATGAAGGTCAAAATGAGATTAGCTCATGTCATATTAGATCCATGGCTGAATTTTGTATTCTTTCTTTTCACCTCTCTATTTATCATGGTCTCAGAAAATAGCAAAATATTCAATATGTATTTGCCAAATAATGAGTCACTGAATAGTGATTAATGAAGCCAGACAGAAAATGCTTAGATATTCGAAAGAGGGACAAAATAATTCATGACTCATTGGTTCTTATTCCTGTTTGTGGGTCCTCACATTGAAGGAACACTTTGAACCATTTGGATACAATTCTAGTAGTAATAGAATTTGAATTTAGAAGTGAGGGGCTTTGTTCAAACATTTGTTATAGCAATGATTAATTTTTTGAGATCTTTCCTAGACCCTCTAACTATTCCACACAACTAATTTTTTGTTTTTCTGGTAGAAAAAAATTTAAAAGAATTCTCTAGTGCTTGTCTCCTGAATTCCCGCTCAGTCGGGCTTTATAAATGTTTGTGTACCAAGTGAAACCACATGTTTGACTTCCTCCCTGGGTCCACCCCAAGGAGCCTTGATTTTTACCATTCAGATCATCCTTTGATGCTTGAGATCTTGTTATGAAAGAGCCCTTTACATAGTAGCTGAGGAACATAAATGCCAAACTTAAGTTTGCTTGGAGTAAAGGAAATATGAGAAAATGGGGCATCACAAGGAAGCAGGGTGTGTAAGGGTGAACAAAAGGGGCTAGCAATAGGATCTAAGTTCTGATATTTACTAACTTAAATACGTTATTTAAATTTTCTAAGCCTCCCCTTCCCTCTAAAATGGCAATACAGATACTTGATTGAGATAATGTGATAATTGAATGAGATGGTTTATATGAAAATACTCAACATACAGAAAACCATCTATAGTGATGAACTAATCCTCGCATGCTTTGGTTGGAAATCAGAAAAAGATAGAGGAAGAAGTATTAAAATCTTGCTGTCCTGGCCTGTCCAGGATGAGGGAAGAGCCTCAGTAAGCGGTTTTAAAAGTGATGACTGTAGAGAGCTACTAATTTTTCTAAAACCATCATCTTTCAAAGGCTAGTTCTGTCTGTGGGTGACTTGTCCTGTTGCATTTTACAAGAATATCATATTTGCCCCCTTTTAATTTCTAGAATGCAGATGCTTTTAAGATATTTTGTGTAATATAGTGTAAAAGGCAGAATGATGAATGGTCCACTAAAAATGTCAATGTTTGAATTTTCAGAATCTGTGAATATGTTACCTTACATGGTCAAATGGACTTTGCAGATGTAATGAAGATTCTGAACCTTGATGAGGAGATTTTCCTGAATCATCTAGGTAATTCCCATAGAAATTTATGAGCCCTTAAAAGTAGAAGAGGTAGGGGAGGAGTTAGGTGAGGCAGGAAAAGAAAAAGGAGAGACTCAATGCTTGCAAGGTACTTTTACTGGCTAGGAAGACAGGAAAGTGACGGTGAGCCAAATCAGGCCATCCCTACAAGGTGAGAGCCAGCAGGGGAATGGGACCTCAGCCTTACCACAGTAAGGAGCTGAAATGTACCAACAACCAATATGAGCAAGGAAATTAATTGTCCCCTAAAGCAATATTAAACTAATACACAGAAACAAAGGCAAAACCTTGATTTCATTTCATTCATTTATATATCTTCTCATTTTGAAACATTCATTGAGCAACTATAATGAAGCAAGCCCTGAGCCAAGTGCTGGTAATAAGAGCATGAGTAAGACCAATTTTCAGCTCTCAATATATTTATGAATGTCAGTGGAAGAACCTGAAAAAGATTCAGACCCAAAGCAACTTGTTTTGCCTTAATTCTCTGAACTACTCAACTTTTCCTGTTGTCTACAATTTCAAAACAGTTAGTCACAGTAGAGGTGTGTAATGTTTTGCAAATTTGTTGGAATGGATCTAGCATGAGCAAATTAAAGAAAGACTAATGTTTTTTTCCCTCCTTCATCTATGTGCAATGAGATCATGGCTTTGCTTCCCTTCCTGTGGAGCTCTGGCCACTTACTAAACACCTGCATCATTGCTGCTTCCAATAACACAGTGACACTGTCATGGCTCAAAAGAACAGTTTGAAGAGGGTTGCCAAGTTGTGCCTGAGAATCATCTGGAAGACTTATTAAAACACAGACTCCTGGATCCTACCCTCAGAGATTAGGATTTAGTAATTCTAGGTTGGGATCTGAAAATTTTTCACAAGTTCCCAAGTAATTCCTCTAGTTCATGCCTCACAGTTTGATTATGTTTGGTAGATTGCTCCTTGTTTAATGATAAACACAGCTGTCAGAGCCAGGATGGTCAGAAGAGACGAACCTCAAAAAACATGTAACATATTTGACAGTTGGTACCACAATTCTGAATACCTGATCCTTGATAGTGCTGTACCTGGGTTTTTCTCATTTTTTCCCCTCAGGTAAGACTTCCTTGTCCTTCTATGACAACCTGAAATGTTCTCAAACTTGCCACAAATTCAGACCTCTGCAAAGAAAGGGGGTAGGAAAGAAGAATGAGTAAAGGTTCTTTATCCCATAAATTCAGATGAGGTAGCCTGATGTCTTTGTCAACATGAACAGTATTCTCATTGATAAGCATTGATAAGGTACATTTTAAAAACTATTGAAATCTCTCTTATGCAACTTGGCATGAGGACAGAGCCTGTGCCTGCTGAGGGGCAAATGAGGTGATTACACAATGTGCTCTGTGGACACTGAGAGTTTATGTGATGTGGCAGCCTCCCCATCCACAACCTCTGCTAATCTCCCCTAACCAAATTCTGCTTTTATTTCCCTTGATGCCATCCTTCCACAAACGATTTAAGCTCAAAGAGTACAGCTGCTGATGCCATACTGCCCAGGCTTCTGGCATTATCCTTCTAAAAAAGTCTTTGATTGAGCTATGAATAGCCACAAACCTCAATAAGGTACTTTCAGGCAATGAGCTTGTGCTCCGAAATTGAATCCTTGTACCTGTCACATTGCTGCGACACACTGTATGGATTCTGATTCCTCTTCTTATGATTCAGGAAAGTAAAATGGAATTTAGGTTTATTGTTTGGAAAATCTAGTTGAAATTCCAAACTATCTTCTCCATCATTTGAAAGAACTGAATGTCCTAAATTAGCGACCTGTCAAACATAGCATGCTTGATTAAAAGGAAAAATGCCATATTTGTTATGGAAGTCAGTTTTTGCTTAGGTACTCTTCATAAACAACATTTTTCTGGAGCTGTGGGAAGATAGTTTATCTCCAGGTGATTATGGTAATGGCTTTCCCTTTATTCTAGGTCTCTGCAAAAAGAAAAAGATTTGTTTGGTGCGTGGTCCTTAATACATTGGTAAATCTTTTTTCTTAACAATACTTAAGAAAATTCGAACATTGACATTTTTAGAAACTTCATTTCCTCCATCTCATTTGCATTTTAAATTTATAAAGTGATTGTTTAGTAATTTTTTGTGCGAAAGCAGAGATTCTTATTTTTGGCCTTGAACCTCTCAGAAAATATGATGATTCCTATAGATCCCTACTAAGAAATGTTCATGGAAGGATGCAGTTATGGAATGTCATTTTCTATAATCCAAATGCATAGGTAGGTCCTCACTTTTAAAATGTATTAGAAAAAGATAGCATATGTTGTTACAAAAAATAATAATTTACAAATACAGATACCTAAAGATTAAATCAAATTTGTGCCTTAGTAATGCATATGCTTCTTTATTAATGAATTAAGGACCTAGCAGCAAGCCTATTGCCTACTGAATTTTTGAAATAGTGATGAAGAGAAACAGCATTTGGAGATATCTGCAACTACAATGAATATGAATATTGTTCAGCCCCAGGGCTGCAAATTCCCCAAGCATACTGATCCAAAGAAAGATCTTGGCAGACTCAATAGAGAGGGTTTGGACATCTCATTATTCATGTACTCCTCACTGGCAGCGGCCCAGGATATGATGGAGAGCCTTCAAGCAATGGCAATATACAGGGTAGACCGCATGCCCATGGCCCAGGTGGAGTTTTATGAGAACATTCTTTTACTTTACAGCTATAATCACTCTGTTTTGATCCTCACCTAATTATGGGAGATAAGGGAAGTGGCCAGCTTACTCTCTACATTTCTTTCATTATCACATTCTGTAAAGTCCATCTTAGATCACTGCAAATTTTCCTAGGCAATCATTTGTGTTTATACCATTCCACTTCTTCAGTGCTTTAGAAGTCCATTAATGTCCCTCACAATCTTATATTGCCCCATATTTTCTGTGAAACTTGAGCTCTGGAGGCCCTGAAGGGCACATTGCATCCATACTCTATAATAGCAGCACAAAGAGTAAGAGCCCATCAGCAAGCATACTAAGGTAATTAAGGTAGTATTAATTTGTTAGACACTTGTGTTAAAGCATGACAGATGTTGTGTTTTAGTCCAGTTCTGTTTTATCCAACTTCATTTCCTCCATCTCATTTGCAGCATGGACTGCCCAGGGAAGTCTTTGTGCTGCAGTCACCAGGAGTTCTGAGCAGATCAGTCAGTGTGGTTGGCATGATGTGCAGTTTCCATTACTTAGTCAAGGAAAAGGCAATTTGTTGGTAACCTATGGAGAATGTGACAAATGTTTAATAGGCACCAGTAGTAACAAATCAGCTCCATGAGGTAGAACACAGGCTACTCTGAAATATTGCATTAGTAAAATCTGCCTGCAAAGTCAGCTTGCCTGGGCAAGTGTACCAGACCAATCTATCTGTTTCCACTTCAGGGGTATAGAAAGAATAAGACTCTGAAATACATATAATAGCTACAGAGTGTTTCTCAGATAATGACACCCAAGGGTAACAT